GGGGGGGCAGGGCTGGCACGAGCTGCGGGTCGGGAGTGAGGGGCACCAGCAGAGCTGGGGGGAGCCCAGGGCTGGGCTAGCAGGGCCTGTGGGTTGGGAGTGAGGGGCCCCGCGGAGCTGTGAGGGTAAGGGGGCTAGCAGGGGCTGTGGGTCAGGAGCGAGGGGCCCCGGCAGAGCTGGGGGTGTGGGGGAGGCCAGGGCTGAGCTAGGAGGGGCTGTGGGTCGGGAGTGAGGGGCACCGGCAGAGCTGGGGGACAGGGCTGGGCTAGCAGGGGCTGCGGATTCGGGGTGCGGGGCCCGGCAGTGCCAGGGGGCAGGAGCTCACCAGAGAGGTTGATCTCGGCGAGGCTGTCGCGGAGGGGGGAGTTAGCAGCGGTCAGCAGGTTGACGGACTGGTCACCCACGTGGTTGCAGTGGCTCAGGTCCAGCTTGGCGAGCTGGGGCGTGTGGCGGACGACGAGGCGCAGCGAGGAGTCGGTGATGTCCAGCCCCGACAGGCGCAGCTCGGACACATTCTGCAGCCGGCCCCGGCTCTCGGTCTGACCTGGGGGAGCAGGGACAGGTCGGCTCCCTGCAGCACACCGCCCCCTGGTGCCGCGCTGGGGAACAGCGCCCCCTAGCACCTACCTGGCTTGCTGTCCGTGGGTGGCAGCAGCAGCTCCCGGAGGTGCGAGTCCTTGACGTCCTCGATCCAGCGCAGGTCGAGCAGCCGTAGCGAGGGGAAGCTGGCGGTGCTCAGCGCCGAGACGGAGCACCACGAGCAGCCCGTCAGGACCAGCTCCCGCAGGCCTGCAGGGGGCAGCAGAGAGGTGCCGCGTCAGGGAGAGAACCCATTTCCCCCGGGCTCTGAGCCACCAGGCCCCACTCCCCTCCCGGAGCTGGGAAAAGAACCCAGGTGTCCTGGCTCCCCGCAGCGCCCCCTACCCTGTAGCCTGTTGATAAGCCACATCAGCTGCTTCTTGGAGATGTTGGTCCAGCTGAGGTCGAGGCTGGCCGGCTGCCGGCGGATGATGCCGCTCAGCATAGACGGGGTGATCGATTTCCGGCGGCTCAGGTCGATGCGGGTCCACAGGCGCTTATCACAGCACCTGGGGGGGCGGGGGTGGAGAAACTTAGAGAGCACCACTACTACAGTCAGTACGGTAGCAGTACCAGCGTCCCACCTATGCCCTAATGCGCGGTCATCCCGTCCAGCACAGCTTTCACCTAGAGCACTAATACAATCAATACGGTAATAGCACCAGCCGCCGCCGCGTCTAATACAATCAATACGGTAGGGATACCAGCTTCTCCCCACTATACTGGTATATAAGGCCCTACTTGATTTGCGATATTGCCGACCCCTAATTCTGTCAGCCGGGAGCCCTGGCTGTGGGCCCCCCCGGGGGCTCCCTCTCTCAGCCACCCCCCCCCCCACGTTAATGACTGTAATATAGGTGCATCAAGCTATCTGGTTATCAAAAAAATAAATCAGCCGGCATCACATAATACTTGTTCCGGCCAATGTCTCTGAAATACGCCGCTCTTCCCCGGCTCTTCCAATTACCGCCGTTAATAAAGGGCCGTTAGTACTTTGCCGGGACTTTCCATGTCTTGGCCGTCACCCAGCCGCAAGCATTGCACAAGCATCCCAGAACTCAAGCAGGGCCCCACTTATACAGTCAATACGGTGAGGGCAACAGGCGTCACCGTCTCTAATACAATCAATACGGTAAAGGCACTGGTTTCCAGCCAGTACGCTAATACAGTCAATACGGTACAGTAACCCGGCCCCGCCCTCGTTCCCAGGCAGCAAAGCGCGACCCTGCAGCTCCCCCGTGTGGCCACAGAGACCATTGCACCCTCTGCAGCCTGCAGCGCCCCATGGGACCCACGCCCCCCCCCCGGCACCTACTACCCACGTCTCGCTCATGGGACCCCCAGCCCCACCCCTGCCCCACAGCCCCCCTCCAGCACCTACTGCCCCATGTCCCACCCATGGGACCCGCAGCCCCACCCCTGCCCCCCAGGGACCCACAGCCCCCGGCCTGCCCCCAGAGACCTATCACCCCACATCCCGCCCATGGGACCCACAGCCCCCCGACCCACCCTCCCAGGACCTGCTGTCCCATGGGACTTCTACACCCTGTGCCCAGGGACCCCCCACAGCCCCACACTCCTTCCCCTGCCCCCAGTGACACTCTCCTTCCCCACAGGCTGCAAACCCAGCCCTCGTTTCAGTCCCTGACAGCCCCACACCAGACTCCAGTTAGGGCTCAGGAAAGTGGCCACTCCAACACAGCGCCCCCTAGGGCCGCCCTTGGGCATCAGGGCCAGCCCTGGCTGCCAGGGGAGAGCGTCCCCTGCTAAGCCCCCCACCACACACACGCCCCGCAGCGCCCCCTAGTGGTGCACTTGGGACCTGCCTATTGCCCAACGCCCCCTAGTGGTGCACAGGGTTCCTACAGCTTGCCAGCCTCCACCCTGCCCCCTAGTGGCACAGTGGGGTACTTCAACACTCTTCCCAGCACCACAGCGCCCCCTACAGGGACCGGGGGGGTGGGGATTGTAGCTCCTTGGTGCCCCCCAGCGCCCGCCCGCCCGCCGGCGCTTACCATCGGCTCCAGGTCCGACACACCCGCATGCAGACGCAGAGCTCGCGGTAGCTGAGGTGCTGGAAGACGGCCAGCCAGACGTCGCGCTGCATGACATGGTCCGAGCCGCTGTCCAGGGGCAGTGAGTCCGGCTCGGGGCTGTCGGGGGGCGGGCGCACCACGTGCCGCTCTAACTGCAGCAGGGGCTTGGGGGGCGAGGGCACCAGAGGCCACTGGAGGAACTGAGTCCGGGCCACCATGTGCAGGCCTGTCTGCCCGGCCGGCCGGCCGCCCTTCCGGCCCCCGGCCTGCTGCTTGGCTCGCTCGCTCCCCCTGCTGGCGGCTCGGTGGTGGTTCTCTTTCTCCTGACAGTTCGCCCGCGGCCCCTTGGGCTGCTTGCCGTTGCGAGCCGCCTCCGAGCCCCCGTTGCGGCCTTCCTCCTCCTCCTCCTCGTCCTCCTCGTCCTCTTCCTCGCTGGCGCTGAAGCCGAGGGCGGCCAGGCGCTGGGCCCGGGAGGCGGGCGAGGCGGCCCGGCTGGAGCCCCCGCCCCCACTGGAGCCCTCCGAGCCCCGCGAGTCCGTGTCCGAGTCCGAGTCGGAGCTGGAGCTGGAGCTGCTGCTGTTCTTGACCCGCTCCAACATCTGGCACATCTGCTTGAAGCGCTCCAGCTTCTCCCGCTGGTGAGACTTGTCCGACTGGGCAGAAGGCTCCAGCGGTCCCTGAGGTGCCTTGGTTTTCTACGGGGGAGGGCGGAAAGGGGGATTATGGAAAATGGACCCTTCCCCTCTAGGGGACACCGGCTACGGATCCGGCCCCAGGGCAGGGGACTGGCTGGCTCAGGGGGGCAGGGAATGGGACATGGACCTTTCCCCTCTAGGGTACACCAGCTCAGATCCGGCCCCAGGGCGGGGACTGGCTGGCTCAGGGGGGCAGGGAATGGGGCACGGGGCCTTTCCACTCTAGGGGCTGCCGGCTCCCATCCAACCACAGGCTGGCTCAGGGGGGTGGGGAATGGGACACGGGGCCTCTCCCCTCTAGGGGGTGCCAGCCCCAGTGGGGGGCTCCGGTCTGCTCTCACCTCCAGGTCGCTGGGGCCGATCTGGCTCAGGCGGATGGTCGAGTGGGAGATGGAGCCTTTCACCTCCAAGTCGCCGCTCCCCACGCGGCCCCAGCTCGGCAGCGGCTGCAGCTTGTTCCCCTCCGACGGCTGCTCTGAGGCCTGCGGGGGCAGCGAGCGGGGCAGGTCTCAGCGGGGAGGCCAGCGGCAGCAGCCGCGGGTCCCGGCCACCAGGACTGCACCCCTCGGGGGAGGCCAACGGGACACCCCCAGCGCTGGGCAGTCCCCACCCCCGATCCCAACGCGCGCCCAAGAGCCCGCCACTGACTAGCCCCGACCTGCGTCTCCAGGGATAATCAGCAGATCCGTCAATATCAGGGATGGAAAAGAAACCGGGGAATGAGACCCGGGGCCTTTCCCCTCTAGGGGGCGCTGGGTCTGATCCAGGCCGGAGGACTGGCTGGCTCAGTGAGGGGAGGAGAGGCAGGGAACAGGACCCGGGGCCTTTCCCCTCTAGGGGGCGCTGGGTCTGATCCAGCCCCAGGCCGGGGGACTGGCTGGCTCGGTGAGGGGAGGAGAGGCGGGGAACGGGACCCGGGGCCTTTCCCCTCTAGGGGGCGCTGGTCTCCCCTCCTCCTGGGCACAGAACTGGGCAGCTGGAAGATCAGAGCCACTCACCTTCTTCAAGTGTTTTTCCCGCCCGCCTTTCAACTGCAAGACAGTCAGACAAAGACACAGTTAAACAGAGCCAGGACTCCTGGGTTCTATCCCAGCTCTGGGAGGGGAGTGGTGTCTAGTGGTTAGAGAAGGGGAGACTGGGAGCCAGTACTCCTGGATTCTCTCCCCAGTTCGGGGAAGGGAGTGGGGTCTAGTGGTTAGAGCATGGGGGACTGGGAGCCAGGACTCCTGGGTTCTGTCCCCAGCTCTGGGACGGGAGTGGGGTCTTGCAGTTGTGGGGCGGGGGTGGCTGGAGCCAGGACTCCTGGGTTCTCTCCCCGGTTCTGAGAAGTGGGGTCTCTGACCTTCTTCTTGGGCCCCATGTCGGGGGGTGGCAGCTCCTTCTCCTTCTTGCGCTTGTGGGCGCTGGCGGGGGGCTCTTCCGTGGGGGGCGGGGCCGGCAGCAGCTTCTTCTTGTGCTGGGCCAGCTCGTCTGTCAGCTTCCACCGCACCCCATCCTCCCCGTTGTCCGCCCGGCGCTTCCCGGCCCCGTCACCGCCCGAGTCCTGGGGACAAGAACGGGTGGGTACCCCTCCCACGGCATGGCCCCTCGCCCCCCACCCCCAGGAGCCCTGGCCCACTGCGCCCCCCCCCCCAAAAACAGCCCCACCTTGTGGGCAGCCCTCCAGACAGCCCCCACACCACACTGCAGCTGCCCCCAGATCCCTGTCCCCGCTCCCTTCCCCCATGACTGCCCTTCCAGGTGCCCTGCCCCCTCCACCCAAACACCCCATGACCCCTTCCCCTCCACCCCCATCATCCCAACACCCCACAATTCTCCCAGCTGCCCCCTTGCAGGAAGGATCCTATACCAGGATGGGGAGCCCCCCATATTCCAGCCTAGCCCCCTGAACTTCCACTGGGCCCCCGCCCACTGACACTCAGAGCAGATGGCCCTTTGCTGTGGAAGCAGCGCCACCTGGTGGTCAAACAGCAACAGCGGCATGGGACACCCCCCTCCCCAGAGGGGAAAGGCCCCAGGTCCCATCCCTAGCCCATCCAGCGCCCCCTAGAGGAGAAAGGCCCCAGGTGTCATTCCCAGCCCTTCCCCCCCCTCCCCAGCCAGCCAGCCCCCCGCCCTGAGGCCTAATCCACGCCCCCAGAGGGGAAAGGCCCCAAGTCCGGGGGCCGGGTACGTACCTTGTTTGATTTCCCTTCTCGTTTGCATTTGGGGCACTCCCAGCAGTTGGGAATCTCATTGTTAATCACAGCTTCCGCCTTCCCCATCTGGGCGGACGGACAGACAGACATTCAGCCACCCATCCCGGCCTCGACTCAGCCCCATCGCCGACGAGGGGGGGTCACGGACGCCCTCCCCCATCATGTCAACAGCAGGGAGCGTTCTCCCCACTTCCCCATCGGGGAAACTGAGGCACGGAGCCAGGCAGTGACTTGTCCAAGTCACACAGGGAGTCTTGGGCAGAACCTGGGAGAGAACTCAGGAGCCCTGGCTCCCAGCCCCCTGCTCTCACCCCTAGACCCCACTCCCCTCCCAGAGCCAGGAGAGAACCCAGGAGTCCTGGCTCCCAGCCCCACCTGCTCTAACCCGCTAGACCCCACTCCCCTCCCGGAGCCAGGGAGAGAACCCAGGAGTCCTGGCTCCCAGCCCCCGCTGCTCTCACCACTAGGCCAGTGGTTCTCAACCAGGGGTACGTGTACCCCTGCGGGTACACAGAGGTCTTCCGGGGGTACATCAACTCATCTAGAGATTTACCGAGTTTTACACCAGGCTACATAAAAAGCACTTGTTCCTCCTGCTCTGTAGGCTACACACTGAAACGCAAGTACAATATTTCGATTCCAGTTGATTTAGTTTATAATGACATGGTAAAAAGGAGAGTCAGCCATTTTTCCGTACTAGTGGCTGTGACACTATTCGTATTTTGATGTCTGATTTTCTAAATAAGTTGTTTTTAAGTGAGGTGCAACTTGGGGGAAGGCAAGACAAATCAGCCTCCTGAAAGGGGGACAGGAGCCTGGAAAGGTTGAGAGCCACTGACCTAGACCCCACTCTCCCCTCAGATCCGGGGAGAGAACCCAGGAGTCCTGGCTCCCAGCCCCGACTCTCCCCTCAGATCCGGGGAGAGAACCCAGGAGTCCTGGCTCCCAGCCCCGCTGCTCTAACCGCCAGCCCCCTCTCCCCTCCCAGACCCGGGGAGAGAACCCAGGAGTCCTGGCTCCCAGGCCCCCCACTCTCACCCCTAGACCCCACTCCCCTCCCAAAGCCAGGCACGAACCCAGGAGTCCTGGCTCCCAGAGGGGGACGCTGGCCGGCCCGGGGGACGGGGGCGAGCCGGTTAACCCCTGCCCGGGCGGAGCGCTCACCTTGAGGCAGGCGGGATGCACGATCTCGTTGCAGATGGAGCACTCCATGAGCGACAGGTTGAACTTTTCCTCCTCCCCCTCCACCGTGTCCTCCTTCCCGGCCTCGCCGCAGAGCAGGCACACGGCCGTGTGAGGCAGGACGGGCTGCGGGCGGCAAGGAGAGGCGCAGGGGCCAGTTGAGCGGCCGGCCCTGCAACCGGGGGGGGCCCCCGAGAGAGAGATCAGGGACCCCTAGCGACCCCCTGCCCTGCGCTGAGATGCAGCTGCCTCTGGGGTGGGGCGCGGGGACCGGTTATACAGGGATCACTTGCCCAATGCTGAGATGCAGCCACCTCTGGGGTGGGGCACAGGGGCCGGTTATATGGGGATTCCTGCCCCAGCACTGTGATGCAGCCACCTCTGGGGTGGGGCACAGGGGCCGGTTATATGGGGATTCCTGCCCCAGCACTGTGATGCAGCCACCTCTGGGGTGGGGCACAGGGGCCGGTTATATGGGGATCCCTCCCCCGGCACTGTGATGCAGCCACCTCTGGGGTGGGCTGCGGAGGCTGGTTTCTGGGGACCCCTGGCACTGTGATGCAGCCACCCCTAGGGCGGGCTGCAGGGGCTGGTTATCTGGGCCCCCCAGCACTGTGACGGGCTCCAGGGGCTGGTTATCCGGGGCCCCCGCCCGCCCCGCCACGCCTCCAGCTCACCGCCGTGCATTGCCTCATGAGGCAGGACTGCTTCATGCGCCCCGGGCCCCCGAACTTCTTCATGTCCTTGCAGAAGTGGCACTCGCCGCACTCCGTCCGCTGGCAGGCCTTGCACTTACGGCACCGCGTCCGGCGCCGGCGAGATCCAGCCCCCGCCCCTTTGCTGGACGACATTGGCTACCTCCCGCTTCAGCTACTCTGCAGGCTGGGGGCAGGGAGACGCCGGGGGTGAGAGGGGAGCCGCGGGGATCGCACAACACCCCCCACTGAGCACCCGCGCAGGGGAAACTGAGGAACAGAGCCCGGCACAATGTCCCACAGGAAGCGATGGAGTGGAACCCAGGAGTCCTGGGCCCCCCTGTTCTAGTGTTCACAGACCCCAACCCTCCCAGAGCTGGGGCTAGAACCCAGGAGTCCTGGCCACCAGCCTCCCTGCTCTAACCACTAGACCCCACTCCCTTCCCAGAGCTGGGGAGAGAACCCGGGAGTCCTGGCTCCCTGTACCACACCCCCCCCCCGCTCTAGCCACTAGACCCCACTCCCCTCCCATAACATCCCAGTCTGCGAAAGGTGAAGGGCTGGGAGCTCACAGCACCTCCCCCGGCCAAATACCTCGACAGTTAAAGACTCCAGCTCGTAGCCCTAAGATGCAGCTGCCTCTGGGGTGGGGCAGCTGGGGAACAGCCGCACAGCGACACTGCAGGATCCCTCTGTCACCCAGGCACCTACAACAGACCCATCTAACCCAGTCTCCCGTCCCCCCAGCACTGGATCTGACAGTCACACGTTTAATCGGCCTGTATTTGACACTCAAGCACAGCATCAAGGAGTTCCACAGGTCACCACAGCAAGCCAGGGCCCTACCCAATACCCCCTAGACACTAGGCGAAGGTCTGACCCTAGTGCATGCCTGAGTCTGCAGGGAGCCTGAGACAAGATGGGTGTCGACTCTGAAACTTACTGACGGCAGATGAGCCACCAGCACTATTAACAGTTCCACTGTGGTCCCAGACCAAAGACAATTTCAGGGAGGTCTTGTGAGCAGCACAAGGGGACCGAGATGAGAGCCCCGATCACGCCGGGCCCTGCACAGACCCTGACCGAGACCAGAGCCTCCATCGCACCGGGCGCTGCACGGACCCCGACCGAGACCAGGGCCCCGATCGCGCCGGGCCCTGCACGGACCCCGACCGAGACCAGGGCCCCGATCGCGCCGGGCCCTGCACGGACCCCGACCGAGACCAGAGCCCCCATCGCACCAGGCGCTGCACAGACCCCGACCGAGACCAGGGCCCCAATCACGCCGGGCCCTGCACGGACCCCGACCGAGACCAGGGCCCCGATCGCGCCGGGCCCTGCACGGACCCCG